CCATCAAAACCCAGAGTTCTGACCCAACTATTGGGTTACTCTCAGAAAAAATAACCCCTAATTATTAACCCATTCAAAAAACCCTCAAATTGGGTTACAATAGAATACACATGACCCAAAAAATGGGGATGGATCTGAAGTGTTTTTAGAATGCAGTTAAGTCTGTAAGCGTGGAGGAGATTTAACTGGTGCTGTTTCTGATCACACTTATACAAAGGGACTTTTGAATCAACACTTGACAGGGGACAACTGGGATGAGTCACATTTGGATGTCTGTGCAGCATTAACAAGAGTGTACTAATTTCATCCTCATTTCCAAACATTATGACATTTATCACTAATTCTAAGAAGTGAAGGCAGATTAACTCAAGCAGTGTCTTCATTTCAACATTTTCTCTTCTTCCTCATGTAAATTTAGATTTTTGACTGAATCTCTTCTAATATATGAGACCCTTTTTGGAATTACAACATCTTTATCTTGTAATGGCAAAATCCTTTATCACATAAAATAGTTTCTCCTAATTCGGGATCCTTCATTACAAGACAAGATCTCATAGTTACAATACAGGATTTCTTAAGTATGAAAAAGAGGTCCTTTTGTAAAGTTTATGTAATGTGCCACCATAATATGATGTTTTGCATATTTTGACTTTATTATAGGCTTTAAATGATTTGCAACCCATCCTGATCTCATTTATTTACAGTAACATTTGCTCATATAGAATTAGGGTTGTGTTTTAAATCTCAAATATTGACTGATTTTGCTACTTGCTTAATTTCTTTGCTGGAAAATGTCTAATGTTGTTTACTTTAGTCATAAACATTATAAGATCATTTTGAATGATATTTGTCATTTTTTGGTTGGTTCATTGTAGACATAAGTGGGAGACTGTACCACGTTTATGTCACAAAGTATCACTCATTCCAAAAACATGAAAACAGTCGTCAGGTTCATTATTAAAACGTGCAATGAGCTGTTTCAAGAATTGAAAGGCTACATAACAAGATGATTTAAAGAGTGTTCAGGCATGTCAAATACACTGTGCCCAATTTTTCACTGTTTTTCTTAAATGCAAATTAGTAGAGAGGTCTAAATTTAAGTTCCTTTTTATACGGAGAGGGAAAATAGTCGCTAGGACAATCTCATGCAAAATCTTACATGTAAGGATGTAGCCACACGCACACATACACGCACACACTCATGTAAAGGTAATTCAGTACAATTAGCGTGCCTGGACATAATCAGATTTATCACTGCTGGGTTCACACAGAGTTTAAATGTGTCCAGGTTGAATCTAAAGATGACAGACACAAATCCAGAGAAAGAGCCCACGAGGGGAGGTAAAATGAAAACAGGTCTGCCGGTATTTGTGGGCTGATTGTGGTTTGCGAGGACTGATGAAGACGAAGAGGGAGATAAAGCAGGCGTAGAGAGTTACAGAGAGAGAGTCACAGAGTTGAGCATGAAGAGGACGAACAGAGTGTCCATTGTCCGAGTGGCCTGGTTAACATTTTAATGAAGGAGCCACATCCAGAGTCCAGCCACAAACTACACACTAATACACACCAACTCACACAATGATTAACACTCTGCAAATACTCTCAGACAATACTGCAGCTATCTGCAAACTCATTGACGTGAACACACACGGTGAACACTGGCCAAACACTCACAATAAAACCAACAAACAGACACACACACATACTCAGACATCTTTGGAGAGGAACTCATTGAATGATTTTTCTCTGTAAAAAGTTGTTTTTGTGTTCCTTTACTTGCAGTTATTGATCATTATGAATCCCTTCCCTAAGCCCCGCCCTCCTTGATAACTTGCCTCCTCTAATAGGGATAACCCAGAATGGGAATACATATTCAAAAAGAACAACTAAAAACAGCACATCTTCTATTACTCTAATTTCATATAAAGGTTTCATATAGGGTCTGACTGATACTTTCCCTGTCTATGAACCTTTGTAAAAGATTTAAAATGATTCAGTTCTGTGTTTGACATATACTCTGAGGGTATGTGGTATTTAACAATATTAAGGGTCTCATTTTGCCATTGTCCAACTACTTCCACTGCAATATCACAAAGTTTCAACCCACAAGTATTCAGTGTGGAACGTGGAAAATTTCCAAGATTAACACATTTAAGATGTCGATTTTTTTGCATTTATTCTGGTGAAAATACTAAATCCAGATGTGGAGCCAGTTTGACCTGTCAGTCCAATTGTGTGCCCTATGTACAAAGGCTGCAGTCCAAGAAACTCGCCAAGATTTATTTCACTTTGGACAAAACCACCTGCTTAATGAAACTGTGTAGCTGTTCAATTGTAGGCAGCCTGTTTCCAACTTATGGCCCTTCTGCTGCATGTCATTCCCCACTTTCTCTTCCAGTTTCCTGTTCTATCCACTGTCCTATCTACTAAAGACAAAAAAATCCAAAATAATCTCAGAAAATAAAAGATTAGATCCAGATTGCATTATGCAAACAGAACATCAGGGTGGACACATGCACAAAACTGGAGTTTTTCCTTGAATTAGTGCCAGTATCTGATGATGATAATTTGTTTGAATGGAGGAAATTGCTTTGACTCTGGCAGCATTGAATATAAAAGAGGAATCACGTAATATAAATGTTTTTCAATTTTCCAAGAAATGATGAAAAAGTCTTTTGAAACGTTCATCAGAGTGTTGGGATAAAAACATGAAGACTTCCAACCAAGCCGCTACAAGCAGAAAGTGACAGAATTCAAACTAAGGCCAAACCCATAGAAACGAGTGTGGCCTCCTCCTCTTCCCACACAGACACACAATATAAATGTGCAGGACACATGTTGAGGGTTTTGTACATGGCGTCTGCTGGAACACGTCAGCGTGTCGATAAAAGTTCAGAGTGTTGAGTGCTGTCTTCTCTTTCTCTTTACTCTGTCAATTCACTCCCTGTCTTTACATTTCTGTTTTTTATCCTGCTCTCTCATAGCTCAACATAATGTTTTCAGCAGTTGTCTCTGCAGGGTGATGTGGAGCATGAATAAGGAGGCTAAGCGTAATTCTTGAAGTTGGATTCCTCCACGGCAGTTGTTGAAAGCTTCCTCTGGTAACATGTGAGCGTGCAAACACACAGCCAGAGGCTCTCCGTGATTCCTGTCAAGGTTGGCAATGAACTGATTGTGTGCAGGGAGTGAGGCGGGCTTCCCTCGCTCAGGTGTGTTGATCTCTCTCTATCTCTCTCTCTCTCACACACACACAAGAAAAATAACATTTCCAAATGTTTCCATGAGTGGGAGAAAAGTTAAGCTGTTTTACTTTGCTCTAAAAATATAAGAACAAGAGTCAGATTTTTTCTGTGCACACACAACTTCAACTGAGGCTGTATATCACCTACATAGATCATAATCATTGGTAATGAATGAAAAAAAGGCTAAAGAAAGAATCCTCTCTTTGTCTCACCACAGACTCGAATACAGTTTTAGAGATGTGGATAAATTAAGGCAACAGAAAACAACAGTGTTCTATCGTATCAAGATTTTTTCTCGACCAACTTACATATTTCGGGCAGCATCTCTATGATATTTCACTTTGTGGTCCTTATAATTGACTATGTTAACATGCACACCATATTGCTCTATTAATCAGAATAATGGCAACATCCTAATAGCATATGAGTCATATAAACAGGGTATCCTGGTTGCCTTAATCTGATGAAGATCATGTTCCAGTGACCAAAAGCCTGGAGAAGACCCCTACATATTTCAGGACACAGGGTCACGTAAACACGAAAGTGAATGCTCCTCAGCAGAACACTTTATCATGTCTGTGCATGATCAGTTTGCAGGGAATTGTGCTAGTTTGCATTTCTGAAGCAAGGATCAGACAAATCCACCGATTTAAATCCTTAAAGATTTGAGCATAATGGAGTTTAGGCAAATGCACTGCAATTTAATCAAGATTAAAAATAATAATAATGAATAATAATCTGACAATTATATTTTACTTAAAGTAACAAATAATAATTGAACAAACGCCATATGCCATTTCCTTGCATTATCTTCCACCATTCTCGAGGAGTTGAAATAGATGGTCTTCACATGAGAGGGAGGTATTAGTTAACTATCAAACTTTGGGTCTTCTCTTCATATCAAACCCTCTCAGAAACCGGTTTACTTCTGTGATCAAAAGGGCCACGTAGTGGTGCCGCTTGAAGAAATGTCCTGAGTGAGGTTATTATAAAACCAATTATGAAACTGCCTTTCATAAATATAATAATAATTATGTGCTACAGATTAGATTGTTTACCTAAAAGGTGCAATGTTGACTGAATGTCAGCCTACAAAAACAAGAAATGGAAACACAATATTCAGAGTAAAGCAGATGAAAGTGTCAGATACTCGCTAGCAGAAATATTCAGTCTTTAAGAACATTGTTGGAGGTAATGATGCTGCAGATTAACCTGTCAGACTGTGCTGAGTCGCGTGATGGTAACCAACCTCACTCTGTATAAGAGTAAATATTACAGCACTGAATGTACAGAATGTCCTGATATCACTTTCAACACACCTTTACCTGGGATTCACACACACACACACACACACACACACACACACACACACACACACACACACACACACACACACACACACACACACACACACACACACACACACACACTTTCATCCTATCTTAACCACACTTAACAAACACTGCACACACACACACAGGGTGATCACAGAAGCACACAGGGGGTGAGGCTCTACAAAATGACAGTGACTCTGCGCTAAGAGATTTTAAACTTTGAAAAGCTTTCAGAGAGAAGTTAGGAGAAGTTAAATTGACTGTGTTCATTTAGCTTACCGCTTAACTATGCAGAATTACAAATGACCATAGTGTGAATGGGTGAATATAACATAGAAACACTAATGGAGGTCAGTAGATCCTTGAGTCTGAATTTCAGAGACTTGCAGGACAGGAGACTGAAGCAATCCAACTCAAGGGTGAAATGGCTGTCTTATCTCAGGAGGTGAATGTGTTAAAAGAGCAGCTCAGACAACAGGAAGAGAAAGCCACCTCCGAAAAGGCACGTCTGCTCACTGAAGTGTCAGGTAAGCTAGAGAAAACAGGAGAGGCAGTTCTTGAAATCAAAAAACTTCAGGAGGACTGTGAAGCTGAAAAGAGGAAGCGGAGGAGACCGAGGAGTGCCTGGCCCAGCAAACAGAGCTGACCTCCAGACTGCAGGCTGATATGGACAAGGCCATCACTGAGGTGAAGAACCAATGGTGGCAAGACAGATCCCAGCTCCTGGGGGACATCATGCATCTCCGTGCTGCACTTCACCATGCACAAATGACACAGGAGAACCAGAGGCTTCAGTGGGCTGAGCAGCAGGCCAAGGTGACAGAAGACAACTGTCACACCACAGAGCCAAACCAGGTCCAAGAAGAAAGTGCCACCGAGAACCCTGAGAGGGAGGAGGACAAGACTTCTCTTCTGGATGAGATGAAAGAAGAGCAGTCCACCGTCAAGGCTGAGCTGAAACAGACTCAAGAAGACCTGCAGACCAAGACCTGCCAGTGGGAGGAGGAGAGGTCCTGACTTCTGTCTGACAAAGAGGAAACCTGCAGATTGAAGGCTGCTCTCGAGCAGGCTGAGGAAGATCTGAAGAAGCAGAACCAGCAGGTGGATGTACTCCCAGGAAAAGATGGGTCCAGCAAGTTGACAGCTTCCCTCAACCAGGCCCAGAAAGACCTGAAGAAGAAAAACAAGCGATTGGAGGAAGAGAGAGCATGTGTCCTCTTTCTCAAGGGGGAAAATGGCAAGTTAAAGGAGGCCCTCGCCAAGGCTCAAGAGGACCAGCAGCAGTGGGAGGAGGAGAGAACACAGAGAAAGAAGACGCCTCCAATTTAAAGGAAGTCCTGAGTCGTCCTCATCTACTCTCACAGACAGAGGAGTCCTCCAAGTTAAAAGCTGACCTCAGCGAAGCTCAAGAGAATAAAATATGTTTAAAAACTGAGTTTGCAAAACCAGGTTTATATTAATTAATTATTTCTACTGTTTGATACATGTTTAGAGAAGGTGATGCTTGTATTTTTAGAAGTTATGAGACTTTTAATGAAGTCCAAAAGTTCAAAAATAATAATTAATTTTAGAACTTGATGGCAGCAACATGTGACAAAGAAGTTGGGAAAGGTGGAAAAAAAATACTGAGAAATTTAAGGAATGCTCATCAAACACCTATTTGGAACATCCCACAGGTGAGCAGGCTAATTGGGAACAGGTTGGCGCCATGTTTTGGTATAAAAGCAGCTTCTCCAAAAATTCTCAGTCATTCACAAGCAAGGATGGGGCGAGGTTCACCACTTTGTGAACAACTGCATGAGTAAATAGTCAAACAGTTTAAGAACAACATTTCTCAAAGTATAATTTCAAGGAAATTAAGGATTTCAACATCTACGGTCCATAATATCATCAAAAGGTTCAGAGAATCTGGAGAAATCACTGCACATAAGTGGCAGTGCCGTAAACCATCATTATCAACAATATCAAATATTGACAGATCTTTGGAGTATGAACAAGCAAACTTGCACTGTTATATGGACTGTAGAGTAAGCCAACACTGCCAGTAGTGTATTCAATTGAATATGGGTTTCACTAGCAAGGACCACGCCGCAATGATATAAGTTTAAATATTTAATGCAGACAAGATATACAAATTCAGAACGCCGTTAATTCTGCAGTTGACTTTGCAAAGTCGTCAGAAATCGTTTATATCCGCAGGAAACATCGGATTTACGATTATTTACAATTTACACATTCTCCTTCCCAACTTCATTGGAATTGGATTTTGTACATAATTTTAATGCTTCTTATCTCATTCTTGATCATAACGTAGGCCAAAAAAGAAAAAGAACAGCATTAATGAAAGTGAGATCAAATGCAAAGGTTGGGTTTATATGGATTATGATTTAAACAATAATACAATAACACCTACACACACACACACACACACAGTTGATTAGTTGATTCCAGTTGATTAGTTTTTCGTTTAGTTTTCTGCCGCCGTTTTTATTCCTGTGAAGCCACTTCAAGGATCACTTGCTGATCTGCTAAACACTCACTTTATTGCAACGCCATCCCATCCCCCAGTACGCACACACACACACACACACACACACACACACACACACACACACACACACACACACACACACACACACACACACACACACACACACACACACACACCTACAGAGAGAGGGAGAATGAGAGGGGACCTTGAGCCAACCTCTCCGTGCACAGTCAGTGATTCTATCACAGAGGATGTGTCAGTCTATCTCTGTGCCCTTTATGTAATGGAGCAGATAATAAAGCTCCCCCTCTCTCACTAACACGCTCTCCGCACTCCTGAGAATTGCCCAACTTTTTTTAAGGGTTGGCTGCATGTGTAAACACAAAACACCAAATTATTCTCCTCAACTTTATGCAGGCCTCTACCTGCCAGCTGATTTGTAAAATGACAGCATGAATCCAAGATGAGCTGATATGTGAACCCTGGTTTAAATCAAGAACAGTAACAACAGCAAGTTAATGCTTTTCATGTTCAGTGGAATTTTGTGTCTTTACACTGTTGACCATTCACCACAGATGCTGGTTATTTTCAACTGCTCTGTTTATGTCGTGGAAATGTCTGTAATGCATTTTGAGGTGATATTACCTTCCCATTACTGTAGATGGCTCCTCCTCCTGTATGAGTCCACATTTTCCCATTGTAAAGCAGATGTGTGAACAGACATTTCCTGCAAGTTTCAGGGCCTAAAGGTCTTCAAATTTTCAAGAAACTTTATAGAGTGTATGTGTTCAGAGGCTCCAGAAAGCAAATATCAAACCTTTTGTTGGAGAGAGTGAGTTCTGCAGAACTTAAGCTGCTTCAGCAGCTTCATGAGACTAACAGAGTCAGCTAAGGATTGATAAAAATGTCTTGATTGCTAGTTTATCAAAACTGTATGGCTGGAAGTGGAAAGAAAAAGATTGTGAACTGAATGTCTTAAAGGGTTAAAAAGTTTCCTGTGAGCGATCAACACCATTAACGCTCCTCATGCTTTGTGTTACACTGCCCCCTAGTGTTGCTATGTCTCTGCCTAATATGTATTTTTTCTCTCAGTGTGTGTGTGTGTGTGTGTGTGTGTGTGTGCGTGTGTGAATGTGTGTGTGAAGTTATCTAACAGGAATTAGCACAGAGGGAGTCTCGGCTTGAGTGAAGCGAGCAGATGTGGAGGTGATAATGATTCTGAGTCCTCTTGTCCTTGGCTCGGGGACTTTTCCCAGACTTTCTGTGCACACTCAGCACAACAACAAATGTGTGTGTATATGAGTGTGTGTGTGTCTGGATAGTGACCAATGGAAAGATGATGTGGGCCATATAAAATGAATCCCTTGTGTGCACTGTCCCTGCACAGACTCTCAGTCAGGCAGATTTTTTAGTCATTGTTGAACTTCCACAGGTTTTTGTATTTTCCTGTTTTGGTGAGTTTATCTTTGTCCCTTCAGTGTTTCTGTCTGTTCATGTCAGAGTAATTTTAACTTTGTCATGCAAAAAAGTGAAACTGAGACTCTGAAATCAGTCTAAAAGTGTTTATCTGAGCTGTTATTTCTCGTTAAATTGAAAGCTGTGGGACTGAATGGTTGGAACGTTGGAAACAGGTGGAGTTGAGTTACCACACAGCGTTGAGTAATTCCATTTAGTGAGACGTGATACTTTTTCTCCCACCAGATTTCACAGGATGCTTCCTGCGCTGGATTAATCTGACAGCTGCAGCTTTTCCTCTGCAGAGACGTTCACACGATGAGATCAGACTCCGCAGCAGCACGCAATACTGGAGCTCTAACTACACAACATATAGCCTAGCAGCAGAGTCTCAACCAACACTGTCTGTACTTAAATAGCAGCTAGCAGATGGGAAACCCCAAAGAAATGATGTGTTGGAAAATATATCAAATCAGTAAGACATGAATTTATGCACCAAAGTTACTTCTGGAGTCGTTTTTATACTTATAAATGGTCAGCTGAGTGTGATGTACTGAGAGAGAGTCCAAATGATAACAGTTATACTCAACATGAATAAAAGTGTATCAAAATATGGATCTGGTTGTTTTAGAGGTTTTAAAAAAATGACTTTCATATGCATATGATGACGGTATTTGTCAGATACCAAAAACAGGTCTGGATTTGGAGGAAAAATGGCTGCAGCAGAGAAATAAAGCTGTGATGCAATTAGAGCCAGAGAAGAAAGGTGCAGGTGCCATGCTGCGAGAGTGTGGGGTTATCTAATGTTACTGTCAGACTTTTTATCGCATATTAAAGGCTAAAAGACCCCCAGAGCTAAGTGGCAGCATCACACTAACCCATGACAGCTACTCTTGGGCAAGTACTAGCTTGTACCAGATGTACTTCACGGGTAGTCTGCACTACTTTTGAGACGCCACAGGGTAAAGTGAGTGGTTGAGAGAGGGAGAAGGGAGGAGGAACAGTAATGGAGAGACAGAGATGGAGAAAAAAAGAGACCAAGAGGGAGTGAGAGTGATGACAGTTTCCTGATACCGTGTTTGATAGATGTTTGTGGCCAGCCAGACGTCTCTGTCCTCTGTAGGCAGAATCGGGGACGTGGAGTCCTCATGATTTAGTATGTACCCTTTCCTCAAAGTCTGTGCCTTGGCTGCTAGAACGTTCTTTGTCATCTCACAAAAATCAGCATTAAAACTCAGCCTCACTGGATACAAACCTTGGCCCATCTTTGGGAGTCACTTTGTTGTGGACAGTGACTCAGTATGTTTAAAAGTATGCGGTTCAAAAAGTCAATTTATTGCAAAAGTCCAACTGAAACTTTACTTTCGAATACATTTAAACACATTAGTCCAACTTAAATCTCACTAAATTCAATTTTCATTGTCAGGCTTACATAATGATTTTCTCCTGTTCATATATGGCTTAATCAGACTGAAACTGGCCTCCAGAAATTAAATGACATAGGTGTGTTACTCGGAAGCCAAGTAGTAAACACCATCCATCCATCCATCCATCCATCCATCCATCCATCTTCCAGCCCCTACCTTGCCCCAAGTGGAGGAGTTCAAGTATCTTGGTGTCTTGTTCCTGATTGAAGGTAGGATGGAGCAGGAGATCAACAGGTGGGTCGGTGCTTCGTCAGCAGTGATGTGGCCGCTGCACAGATCGGTCATGGTAAAGAGGGAGGTGAGCTGAAAGGCAAAGCTCTTGATATCGCGGTCGATCTATGTTCCTACCCTCACCTATGGTCATAAGCTGTGGGTAGTGGCCAAAAGAACAAGATCATGAGTACAAGCGGCCCTTAGAGATGGGGTGAGAAGCTCAGTCATTCGGGAGGGGCTCGGAGTAGAACCGCTGCTCCTCTGCATTGAGAGGAGTCTGATAAAGTGGCTTGGGCATCTAATCAGGATGCCTCCTGGACGCCTTGCTGTTGAGGCGCTCAGGGCATGTCCCACCGGTAGGAGACCACGAGGAAGACCCAGGACACGCTGGTTACATCATGTCTCTCAGCTCTCAATGTCCCCCGGGAAGAGCCTGGAGAGAGGGAAGTCTGGGCTTCTCCGCTTAGGCTGTTGCCCCTGCGGCCAGATCCTGGATCCTGGAACAGAAAAACAATGGATGGAAAAAGAGAATGAGCTATCTTATTGTACAATACTAAAGATACAGAGCTGTACATGTGTTTACATTGTTCAACGTACATTTCATTAGCCACCTGTTTCTGCAAATAACTCAATACTTGCTAGGTGCTTGCATGCTGGAACAAGGACAAGTCGGCTAGTGAAATTACTTAAACAAACTATAATCATAGCTCCCCATAGCAGTCCATAGGCTGTCAGTCACTATGTAGTTAAGTGGCACCATCCACTGCTACGAACAAATATTTGCCTTAAAGAGTCTGAACACCAAATATTAAACAATCCTCCTTTTTCAAATAAGGTAAAAAAAAAAAAACTATAACTGGCCCATAGGGTATTTCATATATGTGTCCTGACAGGTAAGGAAGGTTCACGTGTTGTATTTAACTTATGTTAAACATTTGCCTTCATGAGAGAGTTGTTTTTGTGTATAAAGTTGGTTTTGTGAGTTTGAGATGATTGGAGAGCCCAGCCCTGTCATAGAAATAATTAGGTCTAATGCCAACGATGAGAAAAGTACACAACTGTATATTTAATCATCTGTCAAACACCAAAGCCTGTGTTGTTAGGTGGTAATTTGCCCTCAGTCTCTTGTGCTAATAAGTTTTTTTTTGTCTGGTAGCAAAAGTCAATCAAATTCAACGAAGACTCTTCAGCCTGCAGCTTCTTTATGATAACACCAACTAACCCTCTGGCTGTGTTATCTTATACCTCATGCCCGTTGTCTTTATGTGTGTATATGTGAGTGCGTTGGCGTGTGTGTGCGTGTGTGTGTGTGTGTGTGTACAGGTGGGGGGTAAGGGGGCATCTGGGACAGTTTTTTGTTTTTGTTTTTAACTTGTAAAGCACTTTGAGTCACACTCATGTAGGAAAAGCGCTTTATAAATAAAGTTTGATTTGATTTGATACCTCTACCGTTTATTACGCTGATGTTTTCTTAGATAGCTGTTGTTTTCAAAGTTTCATCCTGGTTTAAAGAACTTCAACCTCGCTACTTCTTAAATCAAACTTAAAAACAACAATAACCTAAAAGACAGTGCCTTCACAGACGCCGTACTTGGTTTTCTTTTTTTCACCATTTGACTTGACAGAATGTGAACACAGTGGAAAAAAAAACCTGCTACAGATCTGTTATCTGCAAAAGTCTTTACTCGCTCTCTTTATGTGTGAGTTTCCTTAAAGAGGTCAAAGGTCAAACACTGTTTTTACAGAGAAAAGATGATGTGACAGTTTTTGTGAGACGCAATCCAAGCCTAACAATGAGATAATGATCATTAGAGTGACTGCATGTTCAAACATGACCAAAATGAACGACATTCATGTGTGTGACAAAACTTTTGTGTTTGGTTTAATCTTCTGACCTGGAACATTTCCCCCGAACGCTTAGACATGAACATGTGGCACTTTCCAAAAGTCATTCATCTCTGTGAGTGTGTGTGAGTGTGACACACACACACACACACACACACACACACACACATACAAACCTTGACAATGTGTGTTTGAGTTAGCAGCAGAGTATTCCCTCAGTGAGAGGAGCTGATGGATTGATGTCAGACCTGCCTTGCTCTCCTCAATTTCACACAACCACATTAACTGGGTCATCAATCAGTGTGTGTGTGTGTGTGTGTGTGTGTGTGTGTGTGTGTGTGTGTGTGTTTGTGTCGACATGTGTGTATGTGTGCTTTTAAACATACACTGGAGTTTGCATATGGGTAAGCCACACTGGTATTTAAGTAAGTAGAGAAAAATGTGAGTGTTAATGTACTGTGTACTGTGTGGCAATAATACATGCACCCGCGCGCACACACACACACACACACACACACACACACACACACACACACACACACACACACACACACACACACACACACACACACACACACACACACACACAAAGGGATAAGGATCTGTACTGTTGACCTGCAGGACCTCATTACTGCAGCCAATCAGAAGACAAAACATGAGTCTGATTAGTAAGAGCTGCAAAAATAAACAGCTAAAAACTGTGTGTGGGAGTGGGATGTGGGGATATGAGTGGTGTGAATGTGGGGTTGTGGGGGTTGGGGTGTGGCCCGAGGTGAGAGGGGTTTCTCTCATGTACAACTTAAACCTAAACTGCCCCCCTCCCGAGTTCATGTTGGAGGCCATGTGGATTGGTTACTGTTTTATTGCACATGCTCACTTGGAAACTGTGTTCACAAAAATCCTCTTCAATGTGAATTTTTGTTTGATTGATTTGAAGTCACAGTTTATTTTTTTTCAGGTAATGGAAACAAACTCAACACATACAGTTAATTTTTTTCACATTAGTAACTCAAAAAGTCTTGTTGTAGCCATTGTCATGACCAACCGCCTCCCACTCTTTAAAGTCTTTTATTTCCTGCCTTTGAAATGCAGCTAAGTATTTGTCTCATTTATTATTTATAACATGATGTCAGGTTGTTTCTCTCCTTCAAAAGTGATCTTTGTAGAGGCCACATGTTTGATCTGGTGCAATAATGCGGATGCAGCTTACAAACTCAATGCAGTTTAAGTGACACTTACCAGCTGTAATGAATGAGGAAAATCAGAGCAACAGATCTTATCAGTCTGAGTGTGTGTCTGAGTGTGTATCTAAGTGTGAGTGTGTGTGTAACTTTCTGAGAACGTCACTGTCTGTGCATGTAGATATAAGCATGAATGTGTGTCAGTATCCTGCAGCAAGACAAATCTACCGTCACATTAAGTTTATCACTCATTTACATTAAAGTACATACTCTCTGTGGAGTGAGACACACACACATACATGGCACAGTGACACAAAGACACACACAGACTCGCACACACGCGTACACACACGGCACAGTGACACACTGAGGAATCTGGCTGCAGGATATTTCCTCCATTCCTCTGTCAGCCATTCATCTCTGTGAAGGAGGGGCGAGTGAGGGAGAGAGAGTCAGAAAGAGAGAGAGCGAGGGAGAGTTTTCATTCAGCTGCTGGCGTTCGTCCAGGAACATTCTGTTCTGATGTGTTTGTAGAGAAAGAGGGAAAACGTTTCTATTCCTCATGACGCTGACCTCCTGTCCGTCTCTCTGTTGCTGTTTCTGACTTCATGTCTCTCTGCATGTCAGATTTCAAACCTCATATTGTAAAGACAGTTAGGAAAGAAGTAAAGTACAGTAACTAGTGACAAATAGCAAACAGGTGTTTGTTAACACTGAGTTGCATTCAGCTGCTATAGAGACTCAGTTTTTACTCAGAAGGTGGTGAAGACCAAAATCAGAGCTCAACAGTTTTTTTTTGTTTGTTTGTTTGTTTTCTTTTAGCTCCAAGCACATGGTCATGTGGATGTAGATGGAGAGCCAGCGAGAGATAAGGTCTTGGTGACTCTTTGCTCTTGTCCAGGTGTCTGCAGAAGTGTTCTGCTGGACAGATAGGACTTAAAGGGTGATTGTTTATTGAACATTCATGAGGAAACCGGCTCACTGATGTCAGATGATCTGAACTGGCCTTCATCAAAAAAAGACTCTCTCAAAAACATTGGTTGGATTCTTTAACAAGAACCATAAAGTCTTTACATGCAGTTTCACTTATAGGACACAGTTTCAAATGATCTCTAGTATTTTTACCACAAAGGGGCACACACTCTTTGCAGTGTTATGACAAGCTTTAAAGTACATAGCATGACAAGTTAATGGAAATGTTTAAGCTATATCATCTGTCAGTCTGTCTGTCTGCAGAGACCACTGCACTGTACATGACAAACAGCCTAAACACATCCAGCTGTGCCCCTGTTAAACTCACCCAGTCAGTCATACACACAGGTACATGCAGTATTAAGAATAATGAGATTTTCCTCACTGTATGAGTGCACACTACAAAACTACAAAACAACATCTTCAGTGACATACAGTATTTAAGTATTTTTTCCTCAAATTAACTTAATTCAAAATTTTCAAATCAGGTGAGTTTGTCTGATCCTCTTTTTTTCTTATGTCATATTCTTACCCACAATTTCCACCACATCTGAAATGGCTCTGCTACAGAATGGCAGCGATTTGCACCGTCCCCCACTTCCTACCAGACCTGTTTGTGAGGCGAATTTCGTGGCGGATTACGGACAGCAGGAATCGCGGGAACTCACAAGAATCCGCAGATTCATGTGCAATCGCACGATAATGAGCTGTTTCTATAAAGACAGCCACACAACCATCAAAGCAGTAGCTTGTGTCCCTTCAGAGGAGGAAATCCACTTCTAGACTTGTGGAATCAGCATCTCCTCTTCCATGGTGTCAACAAGGTGAAATGCTGTCTAA